CACTGCCCCCATACACACAGTGCCACACACGGCCCCACACACATACAGTGCCCCCCAGACACACTGCCCCACACATACATACAGTGCCCCCCATACACAGACACATACAGTAGTTACATACACACACTGCCCCGTACACACTGCCACACACTGCCCCACACACACACATACAGTGCCCCCTTACACACACTGCACCACACATGCATACAATTACCCCCATACACACACTGTCCCAAACACACATACAGTACCCCCATACACACACCACCACACACACGCCACAGTGCCCCCATACACACTGCCCACAGACACATAGTGCCCCACACACACTGCTGCCCCCCCCATGCACAGATCTTACACACACACGACCCCCATTCACACACTACTTACACATATATACAGTATTTACATACACACACTGCCCCCACACACACATACAACAGTGCTCCCCATACACACACACTGCCCCCCCACACACACACACACTACCCCATACACACACTGCCACACATACACATATTACCACCATACACATTGCTCCCCCACACACATACAGTGCCCCATACACACACATACAATGCCCCCCATACACACAGTGCCCCCCCATACACATAGTGCCCCACATACACACACTGTCTCAAACACACACACACTGCTCCACACACACACATACAGTGCCCCCCATACACACACTGTCCCACACATACATACAGTGCCCTCCATACACACGCTGCCCCAAAAACACATACACTGCAAGCTTCACACACACACACTGCAAGCCTCACACACACACTGCCCAGCACATACACTGCCCCCTAACACACACACTGCAACCCTGACATACACTCCTGCCCTCACGCACACACTTCACTGCTCACACACACACACTGCACCTTTCACACACACTTCACCCCTAACACATACCACTGCTCCTATGCCCTATATCCCAGCAGACCCCAGGTAAGTTGTTAAACTGTTCTTAAACAGTTTGACTACTTACTCTGGGATGGGATCCTGGCACTACTGGCGCCATAACTACTACACTGAGCTGTAGTGGTTATTGTGCCAGGATTTTTTCTTTAAATAATCTACAAGTGCCCCTCCTGAGATCAGGCTCTGGATCCGCCACTGGCCTCCATTGCCTCCTCCTAAAAATAAATGCCCAATCGCCATCAGATATTTGTATGTGTACGTTTCCCATCCAATTCCTCAGACATTTTGACATTTCTCCCCCAGTCGCTCCAGGCTTAATTATATGATGTGAGAGAGATCCTCTTGTAAACTCATTTACAACACACATCTTTTCAAATCTAGTTAGATCTCTTTTCTTCCACTGTGGTACCACCGTTTTTTTCAAGAAACCAATTAACTGTGCACCTCTCATAACATCTAACAGTGAGTGGCGCTGTGTAACCGCCAATAAACCTGTAATAGATGGAACATTATTCCCTATTAGAGGTGAGACTGGGATTCGTATCTTCCAGTATGCTTTTAAATGTCTTTGCCCAATTTCCTCCCTGAAAGTCTTGGTAATATAGGGGACAGTCCTACAGATAGTTGCCAAACATTTTTATATTATTGCCACTTATTCAGTATATTACTAAGCATGGGGTGTGGATGGGCCCCAAATGTTTCAATGTTACAAGTCTACCATGGGAGAGTATGTAAAGGGGCAGATACAAAGCCCGGGTCTACTCCAACCCACGGCTTCCCCTTCTCACTGTCTGTCAGTTCCCCTACTTTACTAAATTGAGTAGCTAAATAATATCGAAATATATGGGGCATGCCCAGGCCTCCTTTGTCCCTGCCGTTTGTCAGGGTTTCATATACATTTCGTGCTATTCTTTTGTTCTAAATAAAGAAAATAAACTAATGTTTAAGTGTAACAAAAAAAAGAGCATGGATTGACATAGGGCCTGAAACATATATAATAGTTTAGGCAGTATCATCATTTTCAGGATAATAATCCTGCCAAAAAGGGAAACGTGTGGTAAAATGGTAAGTTCCATTTTTTAGGACTAGCCTTTATTTTACCTTATCGTTGCGTACTATTGGTAAAAGAAAACAACTTGGGTTATTTAATATGGGACATTTCGAGTCATTTCACTTGGCCATGTCACCAACAATCTCTGCTGAATTTAGCAGTAAATATTATTGTATCATATATATATTGAAATGTAGTGATGAATTTCATAAGCCTTGTGTGTTCTATTAGATTTATATTAAGCAGCATCTCCTGACTATACAATATAACACATGCTCGCACCTCTGCCAGGTTTCAGAGGAACTTATAGGGTAAAATTGTTGACACTACTGTGGGCTATCTCTTTGCTTCCTTCCCAGAGCGACTATCTGTGTAACCACACTGATCAGAATGATATTTTACACTACTTCTAACACCAACACTAACTGTTTCATAGATTTTTCTTCCGGTGGAATGATCACGCAGTGCTTGCTCCTTTCACAACCTGTACCGAGACATCAAAATTTTCAGTGGCAGTTGGTATCCAATCGCTGTGTTATGGCAACATAGTGAAGGGCTACCTTGGGCTGCTTGGGAGAGTTATACCACCAGACTTCCTCACTTGTGATGAGTCCGGTGATAGCTGGATCTTGTGATGAGTATCAAGATCAGACCTTATTTATTTCTTTATTGTGTCTTGTTTATAAGTTATGTTTGTAGTGATTTTTTTTGTCTTGTCTTCGTGGGTTAAATTGGAGAGAGAGATTTTTATGAGCACACACGTATTTATTGTATTATATATTTTTATTACATCAGTTATAAACTGGACTCCATTCAATAACCACGTCATTTTCTTTCATCCCCACCATATGACCACATGTCAGGCACACTCCTTTAGTAGGATAACCGATTTAGGCACTCTGATATTAATAAGGCTATAGAAGACTGGGGTCTTTACCTTTGTATTGATGTCATCATAAACGCTAAGCTGATCGGATCTATTGTGTTCTGTCTATGTCTTTGTCTAGTATACTCACAGACTGAATTGTAAATTAAGGAAAGATTCCCCAGTGCAATTCATCAGAATTAGAAATCAACTGGCTACATTGTGATACAAATTAACATGAGTTTATCTCTGTACTATAAAAACATTTCCCCTACAAAGTCCATTTAGAGCATTTTGTTTAGGTGGCTTTTAAATATTATTTTTACAATTCATTTTCTCTCTATCATTTCATTTGAAAATGTTCCTTTAATACCAGTTACGTATTTTATTATAATTTTGGTATGTTATCCTGTCATAGCTCCACATAATATAATTGGGCTGTTTATACTTTCTGAGGTTGCTGGGAGAATCTCAATCTTTATATCCTTGAACGAAGAGGAGGTAACTACCATTGTCACTGTGATTTACGGAACTCCAATTTGAAATACAAATAGAACACTTACACTATGATAGTCTAACTGTGACTATACTGAAGGTTTGTTCTTTTCAAATCAGCTATTTTAGCCCAACTCCTGCCATTAATATTTTGATTGGCTACAATCCAGAGTTCTGTGAATAATCCTGTGTTTCTTGGCTTATTATCTAATAACTTTAATGTTCTAGTTGTGCATATCGTGAGAGACCTGGTGATTGCTTCGATTTACCCAGCTTTCTGCTAATATTTTACAAATATCAAACCTGATATTGTGCAGTCTATATTAATTACACAGTTACATAATCTATCATCATGAAACCTCAAATATTATACAAGGTGAGTTCTTACAGTAAATTAGGAAATCAGCCTGGTTGATCAGAATCCGCCTACACACATCTCGATTTAATTATTTTAGATAAGCTTTTCAAATGATCACAATATGTAAGTGATATAGCTGCGCAGATTCCTATAGACTTTCATGGATATAGACTTCTGTAGAGAAATGATTTGAAATATTTTTCTAACAAGATTGTGAGCATTTAAAATGTTTATCCCACAGAATTCAATTGAGGCCCGAGTGCAGTGTGATATAAAGCCACGGCTTCTGTTGAGCTACTTTAACTAATTGTTACTGAAAGTTGCAATAGCTGATAAGGTATCGCTATGCCTAAAAGGGGTGCTATTTCTCTATAGGAAAACTTGAATTTGCCACTTTATAAATTAATGCTATGACCCAAGCCAGGGCCGGTGCAAGTTTTGTCTACACAGGTGAAGAAGCATTTTGCCGCCCCCAAAATATGTCTTTACCTGTCTATCTAATATCTCTCCTTTTGCCCCTCTTATCCATCCCTTTTTTGCATCTTGCCACCTTTTGCTTTTCACTTTGTGCCAATGTTGTGATCTTTTAACCACCTACTGTCACACACTCACTCACCTAGTAGTCAATACACGCACATTGGCTTTTACACACACTCACTGGCTCCTATACACACTCATTGGCTCTTACACACACACACACACACTGGCTCCTATACACATACACATTGTCTCTTACACACACACATTCACTGGCTCCTATAGACACACATTGGCTCTTACACACACACACACACGCAGTCACTGCCTCTTATACACACATACAAGCTCTTAAGCACACACTGACTGGCTCTAGTAAGTTTAGACATCTTGACTCTTTTTAAAAAAAAAGATATTCTAGATAAGATGTGCGGTAACAGTGTATTGATCCAAGGAGTAACCTGAATGCCATTTAAATCATGATTGATTTTATTTCATTTTGTGGAAAAATTGGAAATCACTTTAATTCAGTTTTCGCCTGTGTAAAAGGCTGAATTCAATGGTTTTCAGTGCTATTTCAGCTTATATTACTATCTAATTCTGGCCTCAGTTTAATCAAATGATTCAGTACGGTTAGAAAAACCTTGCCAATGATTTATCTGCAAAACTTCCCATAGACTTTATTGGTGACCTCTGTAGATAAATCACTTAGAACGTTTTTCTAACAGAATGGAATCATTTGGAAAGCATATTATATTAAGGTCTATGTAAGAATGGTGCTGAAATCTCCTACAGGTTTTTGATATTTGATTATGTTCTTATTATTTCAAATTATACATTTCTTGCAGAGAGCAGAGAGCCTGTTTCTGATTTATTATTTTCCATTCCGGTGGGATTTCAGCGGGCTCTGCATTGTAGTGTTCAGCAAATTGTTCATTAAACTGTTTAAATACAAATTTCCAGTAATTTGAGGAACTCATGTCTCTGTCTGGTTGTATGATCCAGTTTGGGTAGATTGTGCGATAATCTTTGTATGGGTGCCATTTGCCATCTGTGTCTGAGTTTATAAAACTGTCATTGGACAGGACATCAGTGGAACATACTGAATTGTAAAGAACATTAGATTCCAACCACATATATTGGCTCAATCCTCTAGGTCGATGCACAGTAGCAGAGTGATGGTAATGCTTAGTTCCATTAGCGTCACAGGGAACTTCACAGAACGGGCATCTCTTTCCACATCCAATGAGCTTGTGAAATAATTCATCTTGAGGTTTCAGTATAAGATTAGAAAGGATAGTCTCAACTCCCATAGATTTCATGCTAGACTTTATTTCCTCTTCTATTGTATCGATTAAATTCTTGATGTCTGAAGAAAACTGTTGGGTGCTGGAGGTATTCTGGAAACTCGTCACTTTCAGTGCATTCTTTGAAAGGACCAAATGCTTCCTTAACTCCACGGAGAAACTCTGCAACAATTCTGGCACATTTTGGCTATTTTGTACCATTTTATCTTGAAGAACAGTTTTGATTTTTCCAGATAAAGAAGAAAGAATTCCAGATAGCAAGTTGTCTAAACCAGCAGAGTGTTTATATTTATTTACAATGTATTCTGAAATCCAACTTTTCACATAATTTTCATACTGTGTAATATATTGTAAGTACTTCTCAAACTCGTTCATTTCAAGCAGTTCCTTCAAAAGTGTGAAATGGAAGTGTTTCCGAGTTCTGAACCTCAAGGAATCAGCACTTTTCAAAATTTCATCAACAATCTCTTTCCCGAGATTTTTGTAGATGTGGTCAATTATTGATGGTTTCAAACATTGCTCACAGAAATGTTTTGCATGGCTCCTGGACCTATGCTTGGAATTATTCCTCTGAATCCTACTTTTAAATATCACAAAATATTGTGGTTTGAACTGATTGAGAAGAAGTTTGGGATCGTTATTTATGCCAAACTCATCATGCATATTTTGAAACAGAGGAGCTGCTTTAGCCAAAATGTGAAGTTTCAGATCCACTTCAAATAGTGAGGTAGGGTGGAGGTTTGTCACCTCTGTTTCATCCAGTTTTCTGTTTATCATGGTCAATAGTTCCTGACAGTATAGTTCATTATAATCTTCTTTTGTGTTAATCTTTCCCTTAACATAATGCAGGCAGTCATCTATCAATGAGTGTGCAATGTAATCCAATTTCTTGTAGTTATCTTTCAAAATTAAATTAAAAATCTTTTTTAAAATACTGCCATCCATGTGGCTATTAGTAATTTTAAAGCTTTTTACTTCGTATTCTTTTAGAGACTTAATATTTTTTAATTTCTCATTGACCATGCTTGGTCTGTCCTTCATTTCCCGTTTCAGCTGTTCCAACATTTCATTATCTATTCGGTGTTTCTGCAATCGAGCCACGTTTAATTTTTGTAATATATTAATCCATATTTTATCAAATTCTACCTTCAGTTCTTCCTCACTTGGTACATTTTGGATGGTTTTGCCATTCTCCAAATGTTTACGGACCTCTTCTTCAATGAATTGTTGGCATTTGTCTTGAATGTTTTGAATCTCATTTTTCCCATTTTGAATTCGGACTGCCTCCCAGCATTTGCTTGATGCCATAACTTCAAGATCTCGTCTGAGGCTTTTCACATATGTGAAGAAATCTTCCTTGTATCTTTCTACCAGATTCACATTGACAGAGCCACCTTTAAAGAACTGTGCTAATTGTTGGATCATGTTTGATTCTTCTTTGTCCAGGAGGTTTTTCAGATCATTTTCCAGAATACTTGAAGCCACGTTTTGGATTTTTTCTGGTAGCTGGTTTTTAATAATATTCTCATATTTAACTAGATGAACATGGACTTCTTTGCGGAAGCTCCACTCCAAATCTGAGTATTTTAAGGACAGCTGATCATAAGCTGCTGCCATCAAGATGTTTTGAAAACTGAAAATAAAACTTTCATATTTTACAGCATTCCACAAACTCTTCATCCACGTAATAAACGAGTTTATATTCTGGGGTATTGGAGAATGCCTTTTGCTTAGGATTTCGAATAAATAATGTTTTAACTTAAAAATACTTTCACTGTACCCTGAGTTTACTGGAGCCATGGGTGGGACTCCATTCCATAATCCGGGGATGTACCAGCTGTGCTTCTCAGGATTATAATCAATTATATCAGAAAATGCCATGGATTTATTTCTTCGCTCCATTTTAGCAGCTATTTTTGTCATTTCATTAAGTTCTTTCAAAAGATTTGATCTACCAGCCTTATTTTTTACATGTGCTGACACATCACTTACATTCTGGTGTACGAGGTGACAATTCGTTTTTTTTCCAACTTCACTCATCCGAAGGAAAGCATGAACCACAATCTGCAAGGTGTCTTTCATTTCTGCTGAGTTCTCCATGGCCATGTTAATTATGGTGATATCGCTCAGCCCGACCACTAGCGTTGCCAGCTCATTGTCATGTTCATAACTGTTCTCCATAGAAGCCAGTTCAGGAGCTTTCAGACCTTCAGTATCAATCACCAAAATAAAGTCACAGCCCACATCCTCCAGGACATCCTCTTTCACTTTAATAAGGGTCATGAAAGCCCCTCGTGTACATCGTCCACTGGCCACTGGGAAATGCAAACCAAACATGGTGTTCAGAAGGGTGGATTTCCCCGTACTCTGAACTCCCAGCACAGTGATCACTCTCATTCTGCATCGTCCTCCTGTCTTAGAGTCCAGCTCAGTCAGGACATCAGTTATCCACTGCAGGGGGATGTTGGAGGCATCTCCATCAATCAGCTCTAATGGGAATCCCTCCAGCAGGAGATCAGCTGCTATTTCTGGGAGATGACTGAATTGTCTCTGGTTTGGACTGATTTGTTCCTGTTTAATCATAGTACTTTCAGCTTCATAGAACTGCCCCATCTCACGCAGGAAGTGTTCAATTCCCAGTGAGTTTTCTGAAATATTAAGGGTAGGCTGTTTCGGTTTAGTTTGTTTTGTCCACTTATCCTTGTGCATCATATTGGATTCATCCTTGTGCATCAAAAATGTTTTTCTAGCAATTGAATCAAGATTAAACTTCATCCATTTAATAAAATAACATTTTTCTAAATGTGTTAAATGTGTGATAACTGTGAGAAATTTCTTTATGCCATCCGGCATTGGTTGCTCATACTGAGCCCTGGTTAAGTCAGAGCATTTTTTCACGAGTTTATCTCTGTAAATCATACTGTTAGAATGCCGTTGATTCCTCATTCTGCACATTTCCTTTTGTTCCTTAGATATCTCCTTCCACAGATCACCCTGCAATCTCATAGTTTCTTTCTTATACTGTGCTACATCCTTTATCTCCTTTGTGATGGAAAAGGCATGATTCTTGGCATTCTGACATTCCTCCTTATACTCATCTACTTTTATTCCATACTTATTGGCCACAACTGCCATACCCTCCAAGCTTCGCCAACTGCCCTTGTTCTGTGTACAGCCTGAGATAATTTCCTGTACATCTCTAACAGATTTTATTATATTTCTATCACTCTGCCTAATTATGAACACTTTTAATGTTGTGGATAATTTTTTTAGATTGTCTCCTGTAATCTGCTTTTTCTGTTTGTCATTATTTGGACTGATAATAAAATAGTAATTTGTGTTTACGTCTCGGAGCTTGGTAAACAGTTTGTAATCCTTTTCAGTAAAACTCTCAATAAATATAAAGACAGCTGTAGATATCGCAGCTAAAAAGGTGAATTGTGTGAAGTTAGGTTCCAGGTCTCCGCGTAAATTGGTGACAGCAAAGGGTTCTGGGAAAGTTTCAGAGTTTCCTGTGCTACCAGGAAAAAACCAAGATATCTCCACTAGCCCGACAGAGACATTTCGAGGGTAATTCCCACAATCCATGTCCTGATTCACAAAAATATTGTAGTTTGTGTGATCTGGACTTAGCACATGATTCAGGATTTTAGATTTGGATGAAGTGCATGTTCCCAACCGCACAAAAGAGAAGACTGGCATGGGAATATTTACTAAACTGTCTTCCATAAAACTTTTACTGTCTTCACAGGCGCGAGGTGTCCATTTCTTCACAATGTCTCTCATTGCCCATAGCATGAAGGTGCAGTTAGATCCATCACCAGCAGGGAGCAGCAGAGGGACAGCAAACTGGCACATGGACATCTTGGTTATAATTTCCTGTTGTAAGAAATGGTCTGAACAATTGAGGAGAACACACAGGACATCCAGGGGGTGGATGGAATCAGACAAATCTGTTTCTTCATCATCGTCATAACACTGAAACCTGCTCAGACTATCCCTAGTTTTTGCACTTTGTGCAGATTTTTTAAGTGTTGTGTTTCTCGCATTCACATTGAGAGACATTACATTCTGCAGAAAATACCAGGGAATGTCCTCTACAGTCCGTAACTCAATGTCATTCATGGTCAGTTGCCCGATATTCAGAACATCTTGCAGAGTGAGCTTTGTCTGTCTGTATTCTCCCATCTTTAGCCGTGATAAAAGATCAGCAAATACAGGATTTTCTTCTGAGGAAATAAACAACAGAGAAAGCATATTTATTTAAGCAGAGACTCCAACACCATAACAACTACAAAAGATTCATTTTTTAATAATTTAACTTCTCACATGGGGTTCACTGAGCACCGCTCCCTGCATCTAATACTAACACCAGAGAGCTGGACATTCCTCAGCCGTTCCTAAGCATCAGCTGATCACTCTCAGCCATTGATCTAAGGCCTACACTTTAAGGCTTAGCTCAGGAGAGTTCTTAATTAAAGGGTTACTCCAACAACAACAAAAAGTCTTTCAACAAAGCACTGTTTTTGGTCACAGTAACCCCCCCTAACCTGATCCACCCACAACTCATATTTGTTCCAGCACCAAGTTCTTCCTGCAGCTTGATCCTTCTCCTCTGATGTCACTCCCCCCTCTCTGGAGGGGGACGGATGTCATTGCAGTGGGGCTGAGGAGGGGACATGGGTGGCATGTAAGACGGGCATGATTTAATTGGCTATCATTTGCCAGCATGCTGTACGTTCTGATGATAATTTCAAATCATGTGTAGAATTGACATTAGCCCCTCCTTCCCCCCGATACTCAAGTTTTGTGCTGGCTGCCCCAATGACACTGCCAGAGATTTACACCTCCGACAACAGAGGGGGTTAAACTTTGTGTGTACAGTGTTCTTTTGAAATAGTACACTTTTGAAATCACTGAAGTGGTCATGGTGCTTGGAATAACCCCTCCAACTCTCCACTGTTAGTAGTGGAGACAGGGAGCTGTGCCTGGCAGACCCAGTAAGAATTCAAACCATTCAAAAATTGTACCATAACAACTACAGCTTATTATAGTGTCATCAAATATTCACTTCAAACTTTTTTTTAAGTTGATTGCATTTGATCGAATTAATGTGTGTTTTTTAATTAAGTGTATATTGATTGATTTTATTTTTAGATAAAATGTGGCACTAGTTCAGCTCTGCTGCACCATGTTCCGCCATTATTTATATATTGTGCGACAGAATATTATGCGTATGCTTATTGCCAATGATTTCGTTACACTTGCAGATTTTGTCTTTTCTGCCTCTGCATAGGCCTCCATGTGCCTTTTATGAGACGCTACCTAATGTTTGCTTATACTCTGCAATGAAAACAAAAAACATTTAAAACAAACCAAAAATGTGGCTTTTTTTATATTATTGCCTGGCTGAGCAGCCGTTTTGGAAGAGACATTACTATAGTCTGACCGGCTGATGCTCAGTCTGCCTTGCTACTGCTGTGATTGCTCAGTGTGAACCCGCAGCAGCAGGTTAGGTACGGGAGATGGATTGAAAAGAGTTATATTTATTGATTGCAAAATAATGTGTAAACACGCTATATTACATGCGTTCCTCTGTTTTCAGATATACCAATGAAATAACAATGAGCTTGTTATTTTGAATGTACGTTCAGAATCATTTTATGTACAAATCTATGTCCATTGTACATGAATGTATCTCCAATAAAAATATAAAGTTATAAAAAAGTAAGGATTCATTGAAATAAAGAAGGAAAGTGGAACAGAGACAGGTGTAAAAATCACAGATCATTTGTGAGGCCTCTCTGGACATCCCTTTAGTGTTACATAGTCCCATGGTAAAAGGTCACTTACTTTGATGGTAATTAGGGAGTTTATCTTTGTTATAACTTTCCTTGTGAAACTGGGGTCTTTCTTTGTAATATATTTCCCCACGACGCTGCTGTCTTAACGACGGCTCCTATAAATAAAATATCCAGATCAATATGATATGTACATCTTAAAGCTGAGTAATTTCATGATAAGTAGCAAAACAAATATGAATGCTACTTTATATGTTTATGTATAAATATGAGAGAACTAGCACTCACCACATTCACCTCTTTCTCTATCCAGGGCTGCAGATCACGGGCTCTGCCGATTAGTATGGACGAAAGGGGAGGACAGCAAGTGCAGAGAAGAAAGGTCTAAGAGTTAGTTATTAGTAAAGGAGAGAGGAGATGGGAGCTGTGGGGTTTGTAAGATAGACAGACTGACTGAGGGATGGAGGAGACAGATTGACATAGGGTATGTGTACGTATAGGTTTGAAATATCTTGAATTTAAGCAACAAATGTATGGAATACGGCTGTAGTTCTAAAAAAAACATAACAGTGTTATACAGTTAAAACAATGAAATGTGCGCTATAAATGGTTGCACTCACAAGATGTAGACGTTTAAAGCGCTCAGTGGGTGCCTCCCCCGATGTAGTGGGGGGCTGTGAATCACTTCTACTTGGTCTGCGAGTGTAGCAGGAAAGCAGGACTCCAGATGAGAATGTATAGAAAAAAGGCTATTTTATTGAATAAAAATGGTGAAAAACACCAGGATAAATGCTATTAAAACAGCAATAGTATTGGTCTTACGTGTTTCGTTCCACAATTGGAACTTCCTCAGAGACCATAAAATCAAAGCAAGTAACAAGTAAATGTACAAAAATAGCTGTAATGTTTATGTTCTTTTTAGAATTACAGGCGTTTCCCATACATTTGTTTCTTATATTCTGGTCTAATATAATCACCACCTGGGAGGTGATCTTAGGGAGGCTGTCTACTTGACTTGTTTAGATAAGTATATTGAATACTTACCTTCTACTATTCTTCACATTTTGTGGTGACAGTATTGTATTGTTTGTTTGATTAAAATATATCCTGCAAGTGTCCCTCAAGTACCACCTCCACCTGATAAACATACTTGGGAGATAAGGCTGTTGTAGTGCATTCTGTCTACCATCGTAAATTTTCTCAGCACTTCCAAGACTCTTAATCCAACTCTGTGGCAAAGTCATCTCAACCCTTCACTCTTCAATGTCAATTAAATGAAAAACAGTCCATTGAAGAATAGTAACATCTAGACCAAAGGAAACTGGAGCCAGACCAAATGTACCTTTTCTGGTTAAATACTCTGATGTCATTACATTTAGGATCAATAGTTTTCTAGTTTACATGCTTTGCTTATATGACAAAATAGAAGTTGTTCAGAAAAACAATGTCTACAATTTCAAACCCTTTGTGACAAGGAGATGGGCAAATACCCTTATGTCATGAAGGATCTAGCAAGCCGTCTATCAGGAAACAGTTGAAACATCATTTTATTTGTCTTTTACATATTTAACAAAGTCTTTGACTCCTCCCAAGGAAATCTGTTCTTGAACATGATTCCATGTTCTATTATACGTGTTTCCAACTCAGGTGACGTTTTCTGACTTACAAGGGGACATGGAAATAAGACAGCGAAGAGAAAAAGTGATTAAAATTAAATAAACAATGTGTCTATATCTCATGTGTCTGCAAGCATGCTATTGGCTGGAAATGGCCCATATTTATATGATCTGCCCAGGAATTTGTAGGATAGAACCAGGAGCTGATTGTTAAATATTAGTATTATTATTATATATGTGTTGCTGGGAATATGGCTGGGAATAAGGTTCCTGTGAGAATTATATAATAATAATGGAACAACATATTTATCTTACATTCGAATTTTCAGGCTTGAATAAAATATGCAATTACATAAAACATATATTGTAGCCAATATCTACCCCACCCGCCACACTCCACACTCAGTTGCTTTCTGCACTAGCAAATTTGTTTTGTGGAATTGCCACATAAAATTTAAAAAGACAGCATTTAGTTCTTGGAAGGTTTCAAATTAAGTCAACAGCATTAAACCTTTTTTTTAAATTACATAAATTAAATATAGGTGGAGTGTGGATGGTTCTTGGTTAAAGGTATCAATAATAAGTTGAACAGATAAAAAAATGGCAAAACCTAGTGCATTACAGTCTGATACATATGTAAACACATATACAGTAATCCTGGTATGGTACTCACAAATGTAGAGCCACAATATTAGGCTCAAAGTATTGGAAGGGATCCCACTCCCTGGGAGTTATTAGAATATCCTTAGATAACAAATATAAAGACTATCTATAAAAAAATATATTATTTAAAATTAATTATTGTTATGTTTTAGATTTTACCATCTATGTAGACATTTCCCTCTTTGTATTTTACATTTTGCACTCTTTTATATATTTATTTTCTGATACCTACTTTTCTGCATAGGAATTATTCCTAGCAGGCATACATATACTTGTATTTACGTCTATTTTTTGGCTTATATTGTAAATACTTAGTAGTCTTTATATTTGTTATCTAAAAATAATCGAATAACTCCCCACTCTCATCTTTTTTCGATGTATACACATGAGAAAAGTGCTGGGGAACGATGGACAATAAAGCTTGTTTTAAGAGTGGAACGCATACGCATTCCAAATACGGACTCAACCAGAAATACTTCATCAAAGCGAAACCGTGGCAACAGTGTCACACGGAGGAGACGGAACTTACCTGTAATGAACACAGGTAACCGGAGAGCAGTACATGCAACTGAGGAAGCCTAATATACAGGCGAAAAGCGTCTTGCAAGTACTTTTTTTCTGTAGACTTTATATTTAACAGTTTTCTTTTTACTTTGTGTGATTTTGTTTGGAAATAAATATTTCTTTATACAGCCATCTCACGTCCAGTGAAATCATTTAGTGGATAACATCAACGGGCATCTCAACATTACCTTGTAAGGGAATGGGATCCCTTCTAATATTTCCATCAGCCAATATTTTAAGCCTAATATTGTGGCTCTACATTTGTGAATACCAGACTTAAGACTTAGCAGATGTGACATTTTGTAACAATAATGCAAAGACAGACACATTTTTATTTCTCTGTAACTATTCATTCACAAACCCCGAGAAAAGGAATGCGACAAATGTAAACATTGACCAGAGACAAGACTCTCTTGCAAGAAGGGGGGTTGAAAGAGCAACAGCCCAGATACATATTATATTTAATCATACATATTATATTTAATCATATTACTATGTTAATAATATTAAATATTCATGGATAGAATACCAACAAATAAAGTCATTATTATTACACTAACATTAGCTGAATGTGTAAAAGACATGTATATATCACATGCTGGCACATTACCAAGTTATACACATAGTTTCACACAAAAAAACAGACACACTGGGTGGAGCCTGGCAGCTAAGATGTAGTGACTCATAAGTCTCTATTCCCAATGGTTAATGATCCTGTTAATAATCTTTCTGATAATCTTAAATTCCCAGGGAGTAACCTGTACCACTACTATAATTTACTGCCCAGCTATTCTGTCCTAGTATAAGGTCTACCTGGTATCTAGCAACCTACCAACCTTTACTATATCCTAACCTTAAAAAAATGTGCCACTATCTCAATGCCACATATGTGAAAGCCTGTGATAATATTGTGACTTCGTATGCTGTTGTGGCATTGTATGCTGTGCACAAAAAAAAAAAGAAAAAAAACAGACACAGGATTACAACAAACAAATAATACTTAAAGTTATTAATTTTACTTTTTAGATTTAAAGGATTGATCCAAAGTTTCATTGTATAGAGAAGGTGAACAAGGGTTCAGTACGAGTCAAAATCCATAAAGACTGCAATTATGACATCAAACGCATCATGAAATTCAGTTAACCCCTTTTACAGAGAGGTAGTTGGATTTCCTGACGAGAATTTCTTGTTGTGTTACTACTACATCTATTGACCAAAGTCTAGATGATAACCTTTAGAAAAGATACACCAACCTGACTTTATTGGTCACTTTAAGTTTAGGGAAGCTGGTCCTTTAAAAATTGAGGATAGCTGAAGACAGGGCTTAAGTCGGAGATCTGGAGCAAAAGCTGGACACACCTAACTTTCTGTATCTCTTCCAACTAATTCTGGAACTCTAAAAAAAAAATCTAACACTCCAACTGAAACTTTGAAATTCATAATAATCACAACTCTGATAACTTTCCTATTTTCACAATTCTCTACTCATACTTGCATACAACATTCATGGGAATATATCTAAGCCTAAGAATTTCTACCAAGAAAGTTGGTAAATATGCTGGTTTTATTTAAATAAATTATTTTTTTTTACTAAAGCAAAAATATACCTGGATAAAAGCTGGTCAGATTTCAATTATTATGAAATCATAGTTAGCTAAGGAAATATATGGTTATAAATACCTTACTGCTGAGTGAATAAATAAACAATATATTTACTGGTAATTTGGCATGTTTAGCATATCAAGCTATTATCCAGAAATATTGACATCTTAATTTAGGGATACTTAAACTTCCATCAGGAAATCTAATCTTTTGCAAATGTAAAATCTGGTTACATTATTCATTGTTTATTGGATGAAAAGGAATGGTTAAACTGATCTGGTATGAGAAATATAAAAGGTATTTTTTCCAGTGAGAATTGTAGCCAGCAGTGAGTGAGTTATTCAGACTAACAGCAATGTGTTATGGCTATTAGCTGTGCTGTTGGGTGGCTATGAAAAGTTATGTGTTAAGGAATGCCTAGCTAATATCAAAGGGAAGTTTTCTGTAGTTAATCTTTTTGAAATTTGCATCTATGTGGATATGTTGCTATGAACTATCTGAAATTGTGTTAAAACTGGTACCATATTGTATACTTATGTTATACCTATATATTCACTGATTATTGTCATGCATGTTACATATTATTTTCATTAATTGTCACAATAAATTATATTTTATAATTAGTTTGTGATTAATGTGTGAAATACAAATTCTCTAATTATTATTATTATTATTATTTTATTATTTATATAGCGCCATCAAATTCCGCAGCGCTTTACAATGGGTGGACGAACAGACATGTAGTTGTAACCAGACAAGTTGGACGCACAGGAACAGAGGGGTTGAGGGCCCTGCTCAATGAGCTTACATTCTAGAGCAAGCATGTCAAACTCACGGTCCACAAGGACCATCTTTGCGTCCCGGAGAGCCGCGAGTACAGCCTGGTGTTATAGCAGAGTAGGCACCTGCTTTCCCCACATTGGAGGTGCCTACTCTGCTAAAACTTACCCGGCCGGGGAAGAGGGCCAGCGAGGGAGCTCAGCCTTCCTGCTCCTCCCTGCTCAACGCGCACACCGTCTGAAGTGAAGCTGGGTGGCGGAATATGACGTCATATTTTGGCACCCGGCATCACTAAACCACGCATGGAGTGAGCAGTGAGGAGCAGGAAAGAGATCTCCAGTTAGAGAAAAATGAAACGCTATTATTATAATAGCCTAACTCATATATCTATCTATCTAAATTGGACTCAATATTGGTCCCGATCTGGTTTTGATTAGTTTTATTGTTTATTACTGTGATGTTTGCTTTTTTAATTTTTTCGAATTTTGTCTCCATATCCCAGAGATGGTACTTGATGAGAAGGCTTCTTGGGCTGCAATGAGTTAGGCTATTATAATAATAGCGTTTAATTTAAAAAAAAAGAGTCCATCATTTATTGATTGCACTATGGATATTTAACAATTAAAAATGTCTTATGTCTTTAAATATATTCTGATAGAACTTTATATAAAATCGATGTAACTATGATGATGTATTGAATTGTGATTGTATTCAATTGAGTTTATTTGTACTCTGACTCGTGGCACAGCTGTTAGCCTTTACCATCATTGTGATTATACTGGGGGTTGTATATGGATATAATGGAATTTATCATTGTAATTTAACTAAGTGTTTGATGTAATCTTCTTAATTGTTAATCACTTGTATTCCTTGCACTTAGTAGCTTGACAAAGAGTGGGTTCACTAAAATTGCCTGGTTTGTACCTTGGAGTGCCTGGACCTTTCTTCTATTTTTGTTATTCAGCATTTGGTCTCTGGTACTGAGACTGTCCGAGTTGCACCCAGCTACATATTACTTAAAGGGACAGAATGCAATTCCACACCCTTCCACAACTACTTCTGAAGTGTGTGTGTGTCTGTCAGTGAGTATGTGTTTGTGTCCTTCTGTGAGTATGTGTGTGTCTGTGTATGTGTGTCTCTGTCAGTGAGTATGTGTGTGTGTTTCTGTCTGTCTGTAAGAGTGTGTGTGTCTATTTGTGTCTGTCTGTCAGCAAGTATGTGTGTGTCTGTCAGTGAATATGTGTGTGTGTCAGTGGGAGGATCAGATTTGGCATAGGGTGCAAAAGGGCGTGCTGTGGTTTAGTAGAGGGGGAGGCTGGGATTTAGTAGAGGAGGGTGTTGTGGTTTAGTAGAGGGGGAGGCTGGGATTTAGTAGAGGAGGGTGTTGTGGTTTAGGAGAGGGGGAGGCTGGGATTTAGTAGAGGAGGGTGTTGTGGTTTAGTAGAGGGGGAGGCTGGGATTTAGTAGATGAGGATGCTGGCTTTTTTTATGCTATACTTTTTTCAAATAAACCTCCGTTTCTATGAAAATTTAAGGTAGTTTTTTTTTTTAGGCCCTCATATACTTTAACCTTGTTTATGTGGCCTGATCCAGACTTTGAGTTTGACATGCTTTTTCTAGAGGGAGTGGGGTATAGTGACACAAAGGGTCAAGGTAGGTTGTTCGAAAAGTATTCATTATAAACGTACTTCAGGGTCTATAAGAGTTATAATAGTGGGTAACTCTTTCCTTTAAATCTATCAAGGGAAACAGTGCCAATATATAATTTTTTGATATGATAAACATTATTAAATACATTTTTTATCATTTTTATGAAAATATTATTTTAATATTTATCACCCCATAAATATCCTCACACTAAACTTAATAAGAAGAAATTCCAGCATGAGCATACAACTACAAATGTTTGTTAAATAACGACCTGGGCTTCAGTTTGCCCCTATATAATACAATTAATGGTCAAACTGGGATTATAGTTAGACCATGATATTCTTTCATAGAGACAGATAGCAGGAGGGAATGGACGGACTCCCATTTACTATTAGTAATACTTACAGGTTTGTAGGCAGGTGGAAAACTCTCCTCCATGATCTGCTGCTGCTTGTAAGAAGGTCTGAGAGTGGGAGACATGTTCTCTGCATTACGTCTGCCTTGTCCTTGCCATCTTGGACGATGTTCTCTTTCCCCTATATAAAGTGTAAATTTACGAAAAAGCATTATTTCTGCCTGACTGCCACTGGAATTCCTATTGTGTTTAAGCAACAGAGATTTAGGTACATTACAATCCTTATGCACCAACCTGATTGATATACAGACAGAAGTAAGAGCTCACAGTATTCTGTGGTACATACTCAAGTTACAACAAAAGTGCAAAACACCATAGAAGGTGAGTGCGTGTGTGTCCTGTGAGTATGCTACAGGGGATAACCCTAATATTCTAAGAAACAGTAAAAAAGTGTGATCAGAAGACGGATGTCCATAGACCACAGGAGGAATACCTCAGAGTCTGGATAAAATTAAAATTATTTCTTTATTTAGTTCCAACTAACAGAAAAATAATAAATAAACAGAATATAAAGTAGAAAAAAAAACAAACACTGTAAATAAACAAAAAAAAAAGGAAAAGGAAATAGCCTCCTAGGGGGGAGCTCTATCAGCTTCAAATGTCCTAATACAGGCTGAGGAAAAATATATACATATAAATGAGAGGGTGGGTCTAAGAAAGAAGGTAGAATTTGTGATAGACTACAAACTCCTTAATAATGTCCCATTGATCCGCTAGCTTTATATAATAATATTTGGAAAGCCCATCCGGGCCTGGTGCTTTGTGTCTGGGGAGTGTAGTGATCACTTTCCTAACCTCCTCCTCCGTAAACGGGTTCACGAGCATTGCACATTGGTCTTGAGACAATTGAGGTATTTGCACTAGGTTCAAGAATGTATCTATTTCCTCCCTAGTAGGCTGGTGTGTTTCTGGGTCTATATGCAATTGGTAGAGGGATTTGTAGACCCCTGCTGGCTCATTAACAATGTCCTGAGGATGATAAAATCTGTAAATCACCATGAGATGGTACCTGGTGCCATACAAGTTATCGCAAATCTATTAGGAGGCATCGGAGCTATGCTGGAGATGCAAAACACAGATAGGCTCTATGCTACACATATTTTGGGATTGTCCGGCCCTGGGAGAATACTGGGACCGGGTGGGGAAATTTATCTCTGATACCACACTCTATAGAATACCAAAGAAGCCAACCAGCTACCTTCTGCATATCAGCCCCGGGCTGATACACAACCCCAACCACAAAGTATTGCTCATCATTCTCACGGTAGCTAAGATAAACTTGGCGTTCCACTGGAAGAGCACGACGATTCCCTCGTTAGATACTCTCATACAGAGATTGAATACGATAAGTATTTACGAGAGAATGGTTAGCAAAACACAGGGTTGTGTAAGTAGGTATGTGAGAGATTGGGAATGCTGGACCACAAATATTGGAAAGGCACAGGACAGCAACGCTAACAATGAGGAAACTGATAGGAATAAATAACTTATAGGGCACCACTTTTGTGTGACTTGAATGTCCGGCCAGGCTCTAGGGACTTTCAAGTCACAAGAACTGTTGCATAAGCATTATCAATGTGAACCTAACCCCCCACCCCACTTTTTCCTTTCTGTATTCCCCTCCCTCTATGTTATCTTTCTATGGTATTCTTATGTTTTAATGAAGCTAATAAGGCTACAATTGCTGGAGGACAACAGCATAATATGTTTATGCAAAGCTTTGATGTCAATCTAGGAAGAATAGTTGTTAATTGTCGTATAGCAATTGTTTACTCTGTTATATGAAAATGTTACAGATTTGATATTATATGCATTGATAACATTCTCTAATAAAAATGATATATGGGAAAAAAAAATAATAATGTCCCATTAAGTCAACTGGTTACATTATCATAGTTCCAAATAACATACTCTGTATCACAATGTTGACTGGACACTGTATAGTAGTAACTAAGTAGCCCACTCCCAACTAACAAGGCAGACAATTATGCAAGGCAGAAGGTGGATACTATAAAGCCACCTAGCTAGTCAGTGACTAAGTCTTACAAAATAGGCAACCCTTTATAAACCATCTAAGGGTTGGTATGCTAAGTAGTCACAATCATCCCCCAGCATCTGACCTCTACTAAGTGGTAATCACACTATCTTGTTAGTCAAAAGGCTTGCTGAGGATGGATATCTCTTCCTGACTCACTAGTTCACTGTGCTAGATGAATGCCTCGCTGTCTAGACCTATAGAATCATCATATTAACAGCCTTTTAATAAGAAAAATCCCCCATCCAGGATCAAGTGCTCAACTTAAATAAAAAAGTGACTGATTAAATCAACAAAACGAATAACATAACGCCTAACTTGTTTCGGCGCTGCAAAAGCGCCTTTAGCAAAGCGCCGAAACGCGTTAGGCGTTATGTTATTCATGGGTGCATGCCTGGGATACCCACGTTGCATGATCGAATGTTGGATCCTTTATAACTAGCAACTGTGACCTAATGGTTGCCACAGAACCGTTATCCGCATTTGAAAAATCCTTTCATGTCAACCTCCTGAAGGAATATCAGGAAAGGCCAGAGGACATAGCGGCCATATGTAGCCCCGCGACAGAGGACCCTGACAGCTTACCTATCCCAGACCTCCTAGCCTGCCCTACACCCGGTAGCCTGCTCAGTATCGTCCAGCTAGAGGAGCGATTGAGCCCCTCCGAGTAGGGCCAACTTAGACAATTGCTAGCCGAAAAGGAGTTGACCTTCTCCCACGAGCCAGGATACACTACGCTAGTGACTCACCACGTAGAGACCCCTGGACAAGTGCCCCTCCGACAACCCCCCTACTGCATCCCAGAGGCAGTTAAGGAAGTGATGAGGAAAGAGATTCAGGAGATGCTTAGATTGGGAGTTATAGAGCCGTCTGACAGTCCCTGGGCCTCCCCTGTAGTTCTAGTACCCAAAAAGGATGGGACCACCCGGTTCTGTATTGACTATAGACGCCTTAATGACCGTACAGTGACAGATGCTTATCCAATGCCCCGAGTGGATGAGCTATTAGATCGCATTGCCAGGGGACGTTATCTGACCACCATTGATCTGTGCAAAGGTTACTGGCAGATCACCCTGGCCAAGGAGGCTATCCCCAAGTCGGCCTTCGTCACCCCGTTTGGCTTATACCAATTCAGGGTTATGCCATTCGGGATGAAGAATGCCCCAGCCACATTCCAACGCTTGGTGGATAGGCTCCTTGATGGCTTTCAGGACTTTGCTTGTGCGTACCTGGATGACATTGCGATCTATAGCGAGACATGGGGGGAGCATTTGAAGCATATAGAGGCCGTGCTGGATCAGATTCGGGCTGCGGGCCTGACTCTAAAGCCGAAGAAATACCACATGGGTATGGCCGAAGTCCAGTACCTGGGACACCGGGTAGGGTGTGGGAAGCAGCGTCCCGAACCGGCCAAAATTGAGGCAGTAGCCAATTGGCCCACACCAAGACCCAGGTACTGGCTTTCCTAGGGACCGCAGGGTACTACAGAAAATGTGTACCCAACTACAGTACTATTGCCAAGCCCCTGATGGACTTAACTAAAAATAATCTCCCCAGAGTAGTCCTGTGGTCTCCCTCCTGCGAAACAGCTTTCCAGACCCTAAAGAACTCTTTGATCAACGCACCTGTGCTAACTGCCCCCGTCCCTAAACCTTATTGACCTGTAAAAACTGCAAACAGTTTAACATTCTAATGGTTTAACATGGTGGTCGGGGTTCGTTTATGCGAACACGTGGCAGCGGCCATTTTGTTTAGTTTTATAACCAAGGAAAAATAGACCGACCGTAGAGACTGAAATTGTGGAACTATTTTGGGGCAGAGAAACATGTGAACAGTCGGTCACATCCACATTTTCACTAACTCCCGAACCCTTGGTCCAATTCGTGGCATTTTTGGATATGTTGTTCCCCTGAATGTACTGGTCATGAAAATTTTACTTTTGTTAAATATCATGCATAATTTCAAAGTTATGAGAAATGTGGAATAAATAAATGTGGAATAAGTATATTTTTTAGCTGGGAGATAATTGAGCTGATATCACGATTAACTCGATTATCTCCTAAGCAGAGGGGAGGAATGTACTGTAATTACTGGGTGTGTTTCTATTGTAACATTGTGCCTGATTGGTTGCTGTACTTCCATTGTTGGTGCCCCACCAGGTCCAGTGGGTGGTGACAATACTGTGAAATCCTGCATAAAAGCAGCAATAAATGCTCAGTGGAGTCAGTTCTACTTCACCCTTCAAAACATAGCCTCGTCTCGTTATTGAAAGGGAACTTGCTCAGCTTAATCACTAGCTCTTTTAAGAGCTCTGCCTCTCTACTTCTCCAAGGATCCAGTGGATGGGATATCGCCTCTCCACTACAGCCCAGCACCCTGCCTGAAGGAAGGACGTCTCCAACGGCAGATACCCCTCTACAACCTGGGTAGCCGTTACAGCAACCACCACCGATATCATAGCCACCCTATAAATTGTTTAACAGTGTGATCAAGGGGGAATATTTTGTTCATCCCAGGTCAGGCAAAAGTTTTATGTCAAAGAATTTTACACATGCAACTCAGATTTTGTCGTATATGCTCTAAAGTGTCCCTGTGGGCTTTTATATGTGGGGGAGACCATCAGGCCAGTGAAAGAGCGGATAGGGGAGCATAAAAGGAGCATTAGGGCAGCATTACAACACAATAAAGTGGAGGCTCCGGTACCCAGGCATTTTAAAACGCATGGCCATAATGTAAACCAATTGAGGTTTCAAATCCTAGACAGAATCCCACCCCTACGTAGGGGGGGGGAGATAGACAGAAGCTCTTACTCCAGAGAGAAACCAAATGGATAAGTACCTTGGAGACCTTGTCACCATTAGGACTTAATGAAGATTATGATCTTAAACATTTCTTATAATATTTTCATGTTTTCATTCATTGTCTGCTCTATGATTTTGTGCTCCTTACAGAGGCTCCCCTTGACCAGTTTTGGTCCGGTGTTCTTTCCTGCCAACACTTTGACCCTCCTGAGTCCGCTACCTGCCAGCA